CCCCCCCCCCCCCCCCCCCCCCCCCCCCCCCCAAAAAAAAAAAAAAAACAAAGGAGGTGCTCCCATAAATTATCTGATGTGGGAAGGGCCTGGAACAAGGTCCCAGGTCCCACTTACCCAGATTATGTGCTTGTGCACGTTCATCCTCTGAATGAATCCACGGTCAACAACAAAGAGTCCAGGCAAACGCAATATTGCCTCTGGTCATGCGATCTCACGTGAGAAGACCAGCCAGGAGTTGTCCCGCAGATGAGTAAGACATAGCGGCCTTGCAAACCGGGGAAATTGGAAGATAAGGCCCATGTGAAAAGAAAAAAAAAAACTTTCTGGTTTTCCACGCCCAAACTTTTCCCGTTTGGCGAGAAGGGCCTACGGGCGATACAGGCCATTGGATGTCAAAATCTGGCGGCCGAGATTGGGTCCTGACCACTTGGCCTCTTCCTATCAGATTGTGAACCTGGAGGAATCTTTGCACCAGATTCACTTTCCGGTAGGCCCTTCTTGCCGAATGAGAAAAGTTTGGGGTGGAAAACAAAAAAGGTTTTTTTTGCATGGGCCGTTATGTCTGACTCTGCCTCAAGCTCCCTTGGTGCAGCACCTGGAGGAATATTTGCACCTTCAGGTCGCCATGCCCGACTCTGCCTCGAGCTCCCTTGGTGCGGCACTACCCTAACTGGGGCCTTCCAGATGCAGTGCCTATCAAGGTGATGAAGATGGTGTCCACCATAGCCAGGTAGATACCTCGCCACTTTCCTCCTTCGCCCCCTTCTTCCTTCTCCTCAGGCTGGGCTGCTCGCCATAGCCAGGCTGAGCGCCCAGCTGCTCTCCTTCCTCCAAGCAGTGCTCCAACTCCAGCGCTTGGCTCCAGAAGTATGTCGCCAATCCTTGCACACCGCGAATGAGGAGGAGCTACTTGCTCCTCCCAAAGATATAGCGGCCTCCGCCCTTTAGGGGGGAAACATCATTGCAGGCTCTGATATCATCCGTACACGCCCTAGTGCAATGACTTGCTGTTTTCTGGTCGCCTGTAGCCTCTCTGTATCGACGCTGTACCATAATAGGTAGGGTAGATTCATAATTTTGTTTGGCTGAGGGCTAACCGAGAGACCTACCTGTAGTGGAAATTTGTGAGAGACATACCTGCGAAATTGGGAAAATACAGGCCAAACACTAACTGAATTTCCGCTACAGGTAGGTCTCTCGGCTAGCCCTCAGCCAAACAAAATTATGAATCTACCCTACCTATGGTACAGCCTCGACAGAGAGAGGCTACAGGCGACCAGAAAACAGCAAGTCGTTGCGGACCAAGATGCAACGATTTGCAGGAAACCCTATTTTTAGACCTACCCTGCAGACTTCACCACTGTATGACCCTGTATGCCATACCCTGGGCATGGCGAATTACAGTTTTCACTGTAACTGACTCAAAACATCAAATCTGGATGTGCGATTTCAGACACAGACTGAGTACTGAATTGTGATTTACCAAGGACTGACAGAATTGAATTTTGACGGACAGAATCAAAGTTATGACTGACCCTAGTCTAGCCAAGCTTCAAACATGGCAGCGCAGAATTCAAATTTGCATTATTACTGACAACAGGACCCTG